ACTGGTTTAACTACGCTAAGTTGAATCGGCCCTTGGGGACTACATCAGCAAATTTCAAAGCATCAAGATTCATATTATTAAGTCCCGGTTTGAAAGAATATTTCAAATCGGCCCTTAGGGGCTAGGAGAGTCAACAAGAATGAAAGCATACAAGCAAGAAGGAGCATATGGAAGTTACCTCATATTTATCCTTCATCATATTAACCAGACCGACTTCATAGTCACGGCTGGTATACAGCCGGTTCAGATAACCGGAATGGATATCTCGGGTGTTCAGAGCAGCGTAGGCCGTCGGATCAGCATTCCACTTGCCTTTGCCAAAAGCAGCTAATTCCTCCTTGGCAGAATGTTTGGATAAAGCGACAGGGTTGCTTGGCTCAGTATGGCCAGTGCCAGTAATGACAACTTCATCATCATTCGTACCGCCGGTTTGCACTGGAGCTGTTGGCTTGTCAGTAGGTTTCGCGAGACCGGTGGAGCTTTCAACCCGGAGGGAACCTGTGGGCTGATGGATAGGACCTGAGGTATCAGTAGGTCTTTCCTCAGCAGTAAGATCATCATCTGGCTGCGGTGGATCATTGGAAATATCCTCAGGAATAGCCGCTTCAAGATTGGGTGTTGTGCCTGGTTCAAGAATGACATCTTCTTCGGCCGCTTTATCCAGGCGGGCCTTCTTGCTCGGCCTAGGTTTGGCCCTGAGAAAAATAACAAAATTAAATACAACATATGTTCTAAGGTAATATACTGCAAACATCACAATAAATATAGCTTACCCAAGCACCTTTTTGAGCGGTGGGAGCTGAGTAGCCGACGACTCGCCAGAAGATGAGTGGGAAATAGCCTGATAATCGGAGTCAGACGGATTAAGAGGTTGACGAAAGCAGCCCGCTTTAGGACAAGTACTGACAAGCGAATTAGAGACCTCGGAATGACGTTTCTGAACCGGACTGTTCGGTAAACCGGCAGAGGTAACTACCTGGCCGCTATGCCGGGTGGTGTGGCGAGCTTCGTGTTGTTGAGTCTTCATAAGAAGTTTAGGATCCAAATAAGCAAGAGGATGAGAAAATTTAACTTTCCGGTTTGCCTGATGGATTTTTTGTGAAGGCAAAGTTTTTGAATCGGAAGAGAGAATAATTACCTCTGCAACACCCGCATGGCTAGCTTCGGCATCATACTGACAAATATCATCATCAATAAGATGCATGAAAAATAAACCAAGTGAGTCAAGCTCTACCTCAAAGTCCGGATTATCCACCTCGTCATCAGGGGCCGGATTAGAAGATGCAGTGGTTCTTTTCCGGTGGGCAGTCTTCTTCACAACTTTAGTTTTTTGCCGGGTTGCTCTTTCTGGTTTATCTGCTTTCTCTGATTTCTCCTGCGGCAGCTTTTTGCTCCAAAACGGATCATCACCCTGATTATGCAGACACTGACATTAGAAACAATGGCCAGACATATCGGTAACAGATTCAGCAAAGAGAAAAATCAAAGTCTTACAACTGGCGGTTTGTTGGTGGCACAGAAGGGAAGCAGGCCGGTTCTAGCGCAGATGTGCTCTGGTTCATTCAGTATCTTACGCACAGCCTCCGTGATTTCTTCACCGGACAGCTGGAGTCTTGAATGTCGCAGTGGGTCATCCACACTATCAGTATATTCGCACATCAAACCGGAGCGCTGACTAAGGGGCAGTGTGCTCCATGATATCCAACAACGAGCAAGGTCAACCCCTGTTAAACCGTTGGCCATAAAGGCTCTGAGCTTTGACAGCTGGGGAGCATATTTGCTTCTCTCCTGGGCAGTCAATCGTTGAGGAAAAGGATGGGTATTGCTGAGCCGCTCCGGACGAAAACCAGGCAAGGGATTCTCACCATCAGGGGAGGTGTCTTTGCAGTAGAACCATGTCTGATTCCACTCCTTGGGGTGACTGTGCAGCTTGGCGTGAGGGTATGTGACCTCTTTCCTTTTTTGAATCGCCGTGCCACCCAACTCCGTATTAGAGCCATCAGTAAACTCAGTACGGCGGTTTAGATGGAAAAGATCTCTGATTAATTCCACTGTGGGCTCCTCTTGAAAGAATACCTCACAGAGCACTTGGAAGTGGCACATATTTGTAACAGAGTTGGGGCCAGTGTCTTGCGAATGGAGTTGAAAATCAGCTAGAACATCCCGGTAAAATTTAGAATCGGGCGGTTTAAAACCCCGGGCTAAGTGGTCTACGAAGACAACAACCTCTCCTTCTCGAGGTGTGGGAGGGGGCATTCTTTGCCAGGAGCCCTCCAATGGATGGTGTCTTTGCTGCCCAAGGTGCCAATCAGGACTAAATCGTCCAGTTGATCCTCTGTGACGCGAGAAGGGACCCAGTTGCACTCGTACACTTGCTTGGCCATGATGAAATCTACAAGGTACATTGATTTGTGCAACGTTAAACCGGAAGCAGATCTATCTAAACCGGAGTTTTATGAAGCAACAACATATGGCGGTTCAACAAGGGGACTAATGGCATATACCGGTTTGGAAAATTTTCTATCAGGTTAAACCGCCTGATCTAAACATTGAAGCAATTGAGATTGCGGATGGTTAAGTATGCACAAACAGGTTTCACAAGGTCTTGTTACGGCGTTGGATCTGAAGCAAGTTCAGAAAATAAGAAAAATAGTCGAAGATCAAAGCAGAACAGTATTTAATCAATGGGCAGAAGTATATGTGAGATCTGCGGTTTTGGGCAGGAAACTAACGACGGATACTAAAAGTTACCGCTACACAAAGAAAGGGTTCACATGTGCATCCAGGAGATAGTACATGAGTATGAGCAAGTGATGAACACCGCAAGAACACGAAGCCCTAGATCAGATCTATGTTGAGAAGAACGGAAGACCTGCCAGAGCTGAGGAAAACGCGGAAGGTCGCCGAGGCTTTCTGGCGCGTTCAAGTTGATGCAGCGGCCAAGGGTGATGCAGAAGAAGACGGCGGCGGCAAAGCTCTGAGACTGGCGACGCGAGGAAGACGAAGAGGAAGGGCACGAAGGGAAGAAAAGAAATGACCCTTCGGGCCTATTTATAAGGCAAATGACATGTGTTAGGCGCGGGAATCAAGGGACCGCGGATTTTGGAAGTAGGGCGGTCACCTCGGTCATTGAGAATCTATTAAACAAGAAGATATCATGGATGTTTTCTTTATGACAGATGATGTCACGCCGATTTACAGTAAACGGAGAAGATGACGTCACGGCGGTTCAACAACTACAAGAAGATGTTGAAGACGAAGATTTTTGCTAAGGATTGACATGAACCTGTTCAAATCAATCTGGGGCCTAATGTTGGGGATATTACTACTGGGCATAAACCGGCCTACCTGGGCCGGATTAACTCCATCAGTAGTTCAAAGGTGTTAAAGCCCAAAGAGGCAGATAAAGGCCCAGGGCCCCTAGTCGGTTTACAACCTGTAGCCGTACATCAGCTTTGTGCATATACTTGTAATATAAGTTAGGAATAAGGAGAGACCAACCCGGATACGAGTATGAACCGGTCTTGGGACTCTCTGAACCGGCAGGTGTCACCCATGTATATAAGGGGACGACCCGGCGGCGGTTCAAGGACAACAGACAACAACTCGAGACATAGGCGAAGCTTATTTGCTCCCTAGTCATCAAAACACCCATCAATTCCATCACAACTAGAGGTAGGCTTTTACCTTCCTTGAAGGGGCCGAACTAGTATAAACTCTCTTGCGTCCTTGTGTCCGCTTTAACCCCTTCAAGCTAACCCGTAGCGATGGCTCCACGACTAAGTCCTTTCTATAGGACAACTGCCATGACAAAACCACGACAACATCCAAAAGGAACACAAGATCGGCTCCGTCCCGCGGCGGTGGCGCACGGACTGCTCCACCGCGCCCTTCTCCCGTGCACGCTGCCTATCACGGCGCGCGCCTCCGACTCTGGAGTGCGCATGCGGGCCGGTGGCGCGGGCACAAGCACCCAGCGTTGGCCACGTGGAGGAGCGGTCGGCGGGGAAGGAGACGGCGTGGGGCCGATGAAAATTGTGATGTCCTTGCGTCGCTGCGTGCGGGCCGGGAGGGTCCAGTTTTGGCGTCCGCGCTGCACCGGCGTGGGAGCTGCGGCGACGCTCCAGATCTGGAGTTGCCACCGGTCTCCACCTTGGACCGCTCCAGCGTAATTCGAAGGGCCATCTCCTCCTCGTAGTCGAGCTCCGAGCCGGAGTCTGCCGGAGCTGCTCATCATGGTGGATGGGATCGCAACCGGAGAGGGAGAGGAGTGGATATAGCGAGAGAGGGGAGAGAGTGAGCTAGGGTTTGAGCTCGTAGCCCGGGTTGGGGGTTTTTGTGGGGTCGGTGGTGGGTCGGGCTTATCAGGCGGACGCGCCCGGACGTGCCTGAGGCGTTTCATATCTGCCCTACATTTGGACTGAATATGAGGGGTGCCGATCAGTTCAAGCGTTTCTCCACAGTTTGAGAGGTCTGATTGGGTCGATTTTTTTGCTCGGTCAGTGACCGGCGCGGTGTTCTGAGCGTTTGAGACGGGTATGAAAGGTCCGGCGGTTGCTGTTTGTTTTTGTCCGGGCGCTGTCCTGTCTTGTACGTCGTCCATGCGAGCCCGGGCATGATGATCTCTCATAGTATATCGACACGCAAGCCTTTTGCGGGTTCGCAAAAAGAACTGAAAGAAATTCATAGACTGTTCAGAGTAAGACTTGGTAGTACCACATATATGTGCTCAGTGCTGACACGTAGATGAAGGACTCGAGTGTCACGTCCTCTTCTCCCAACCACGTCGCTCTCAGTGCTGACACGTAGATGAAGGACTCGTAGACTTGTCAGACGCTCTTCACCGTTTCCTTGAGGACTCTACGGGATTTCTTCCCCTCGGCACAGCTTCAGATTTCTTCACCGTTCCAGTCGACTTGCGAGCTTAAAATTTCCCCTTTTAGCTAGCAGGGCGGAGGAATCTGACATATATATCGGCGATCGATCGATCGAACGTCCTAATGGCGGAGATCGTAGCTTCCGCGGTCGTCAGCGAGACGCTGAGCAGGGTCTCCTCCTTCCTCATCGACAAGTACCGCGACCGGAGATCAACCGAGAGAGACGACGACACGGAGAGGCTGGAGATGGCGCACATCAGGATGGAGGCCGCGCTGGAGGCGTCCGGCAAGTGGCCACCGGCCACGGACGTCCCGCTCCTACGCTGGCGGAACAAGCTGAAGCGCGCCGCCGACGAGTGCGACGCCGTCCTCCGCCGATGCAAGCGCGGCACCGTTGAAGACCAAGGGACAAGGCAGTGCCCCTCCTTCCCAGCACGGATCGCTCACGCCACGAGATCCTTCTTCTCCTCGACCTCGTCCTCCCCCTCTGGCCACAACGACGGCGAGCCGTCGATTGACTGCTCGGAAGCCGTCGTCCGGAGGTACGAGAGGTTCGCGGACGGCGCCAGCGAGTTCCTGAGGTTCTTGGAGCACGGCAGCGTGCGCCGCCAGATGTTGATCCTCGATCCCCTCGCGGGGCACCTCCTCGCGGGCAGAGCTTTCCAGTACGAGGTCTCTCAGGGAAGCCGGCGCTACTACTTCGCGGGGCGGCCGATGAGTTCTCTAGAGCGAGGATTAGAGGGCGGGGTGCTGCTCCGGTGCCGTGACCACGAGGCGCCGGAGCACAACTTCGTGCTCGGAATTCTGATGCGCCTCACGGAAAGCACGGACATGGCCGCGGTCGTGGCCGAGTGCTTGGGGTCGCGGTTGCTCGCCCCTCACCTGAAGCCCGTCGCCGATGCCGCCACGCAAGAGCTCGACCGGGTGCACACCCGGGGCATGTATTGCTACCCGTTTCTTGCTTCTACTGATCCGGTGTATTGGAACATTCACTTGTCAGAGACTCGACGGGCTCGCCCAGAGCCACTGTGCTGCAAAGGAGGACACGACCACAAAAACTCCATGACGAGATTGCCAGGCGCATTTCCAGAGCCGGTGATCAAATTGTTCGTGCAGCGCCATGTCTCGGCAAGGGAGAGGAGGCAGAGCAGGAGGAGGAAGAAGGAGAAGATATCTCTGTCGGCTGTTGTTGGTAATGGCCTGCAGCTTACAACCGTCTTCGCGCCACACGCGTCCACGGAGGAGCTGCCTTCCGGAGTCGAGAGCATCGCGGTCGAGGTGGTCGACGGGAGCCGGGATGAGCAGGTCTTTTTTTTGAAAGGGGGATGAGCAGGTCTTGCATGAAAACGTTGGGTTGCATCAGCTGGAAGAGTTGCTGCTGCCGGGCGCGACTAGGCGTCTCTGCCACGGGGCTGCAGCCGCACAATTATCGCAGCCGGCGCGTGAGGTGTTCTGGAGGTCTGGACATGGCGTGGCCTACCTTTGCGTCGAGAAGTCCGGCACCGACATGGCGATGTGCAGGGCAACCCAGTGGCAGTTTTGAAGATGGCTTTCTTGAACAACAGCATTAAGACTTGATATTGTACCCCTTTGCATTCACCGAATGTTGTGGAAAATAGCTTGAACAACCGCCATTCAGTTTATTGGAATGGTATAAGAGCATCTTCAGCCGTTCGGTCCCCCAGGGCGCCTAAAAGGAGCAGTCTGGGGGCGAACTGACGCTAGATTGGCCCTTGGGGCGACCTAGCTCGCAGTCACGCCCCCAAGCGTCGGCCCCAGGACGTGGCAATTTCGAATTTGGTCGTTCCCGCTCAAAAGACGCCACAAGTCCGGTGATCACAGGACAAAGTTCGGTGACCAGATAAATAGTCCGGCATATAAAAAAAAGATTGTCACAAGTCTGGACGCGTGCGCAACGCATCACTCGGCGGGGGCGGCCTCCCGCGTCGTCATAGTCGGCGTGCGCGGGCTAGGCGGTGTCGGAGCTGCTTTTGTGCTGGGCGGCGTCGGCGGGGCTTTGGTACCGCTGGGCGTCGTGGAGGCATCAACACTCGGGCTTGGCGGCGGCGGCATGGGCGCGGGAGTTGGCAGCGCCGTCGTCGTCAGCTGGTTCAGAATGAGGCCGCGCTCCGCCATGTACCACGCCTTGAGCTGCTGCGATGATGTCGTCCATGTCGGCGTCGGTCTCGTCGGTGTCGCCGGAGGTGCGACGTGGAAGCTTGTGAGAAGAGCAGGGCGCCACGACAGAGAGGGGGCGTCGGGGAGGACGTGTAAGCCGGCGACGAGTAGTTGTACGGAGGGTACTGCACGCCGGCGAAAGCGGGCACGGGCGTGCGCTAGGCCGGGTGTCCATGAGGAAGGTGACGTTGGGAGTGAACCCACCGTGCGCGTCCCCGTCAGAGTAGCTCGGCGACGGCATGCATCCCCATGGTTGCGGCGGCGACGAGAAGCCGACCGGAGTGCCGACGCTTTGCCGGCTCCAGGGCTCGTACTGGGCGTGGCCGCCGGGTGGATTCATCATCCCCACGCGAGCCGCCTCGGCCTCGGCTTGATCCGCCACGGCCGTAGCCGCACGCGCCGCGTTGTCCCGAGCCTTCTTGGCGATGACCCTGTTTCGCCGGTCGGCGGTGACAGCCTCCCGGCGCTGAACTTTCACCCTAAGTCGACGTTTGGCATGTCCAGTGGCTTGGACGGCGGCGCCCTCGGCTTCCCCTGCTTTGGTTGGGCAACGGTTACGGTCGCAGTTGTCGTGGCGCGGGGGATCACGTACTTCTTCGGCGGCATGGCGGCCGGCTGGGAGGCGAGCGGGAGGGAAGTTGACGGGAGGAATGGAGAGAATGAGAGAGAAGTGGCGGGGAGGGGAGGAGAGGGGGGGGGGAGCGGAAAGAAACGACGGAAAGAGGCTCGACTCGCCGACAGAGCGGCCCCGCGCCTCTTTTCGCTTGTGCCGGCGCCCCCAGACGCTCCCAGCGTGCCGGGTTCGGTTCGGGTTTGCCAACGCCAGTTTCGGTCTAAACCGACAAAAAACGGATCACTGAAAATGCGACTGGGTCGATTTTTTGACGTCGGTGCGGTAAAAACGCCTAAAGGGAGCATGTTAGGGGCGCGGCGGGAGATGCTTTAAGCCGGCGTGATCTTATGTTGGTCCGGAGGACCAGAGCCGAAGCCAGAGTCAAGTTTTGCTATGGTTACTCTTCTAAGACCGTATGTGGACTGCCGACCGTCTGGCTGCTGAACCCTCTGTGATCACGAGATGGAGACGGCGGCGTACCTAATCTTGGGCTGCCCGTTCTCATAGGTTATCTGGGTTGCCCTGGACTCTTCGCAGCCAAGGGATTCTGTGCTGGTCACTGGCCCTCGCTTGGTTGGTGGAACAAAACAGCCAAGCAAATGAAGAACCCTGCGAGAAGAAACATGATCTCCATCACAGTGTATGTCGCCTGGAACATCTGGAAAGAGAGGAATAGGAGGATTTTTTTTTAGGATTCGCACCTTGGCATTGACGAGGTGGCCACCCTTGTTCGTGCTGATATCCAGTTTCTTGGATTGACTTTCCGCGAGTGGTCCGTGTTTTTTAGGCTTTTTTCCCTTCTACTTTTCTCTCTTGCTTAGTTGTTATTCTCTCCCTGACGATTTTGTCATGTACAGTCATTCCTCCTTTCTACTCCTATATTGAAAAGGCAGAGACTCCTGCCATTGCCCGTCAAAACCAAAAAATGTTGTAGAAGCATAGGGCAGTGAAGTAATTAGCAACATCGTCGTACTTTGAAGTAACATGGCGATATGGAGAGGACTGTGTAGAGAGATAAGTTGATGGTTGGAATCCTAAGTTTACTTTTTTTTAAAAAGTTTACCCTCGACCTCTGCATTACATATGCATACAAACATTTTATTAAGCGTAGTACCAGGTCCCGAACCAAGTCTCGTACAATCCTCGAACAAAAGCTTAACAAAAAAAGTTACCACAACCGGCGTAAATAGGGTAAAATGACTATATACCTATTCTATAAAATGACTATATACCTATTCTATTGTTGGACCTCATTCAAACGGTTGTTAGTATTATGTGCGACCGTCTTCCAGGGGTTGCACCCAATATCCATAAGCTTCATGTGGTCCACATGGCCGAGTAACGACCGCGTACAGATCCAAACAGATAATCTGCAAAAAAGTTATGACTGTTTGTCTGTTAAAGGTGATATCATTTCAACAATTTCATATGGTCCAAAGTAATGCACACACTCCTCGAATATGTGCCGCCTCTATCCCATTTTACCATGTCCCAAATAAATTGGATAAAGTGATAGGAGGAGAAACATTAAAAATTGCATGGATGGTGCGCCATAATAACTTAGCTAGTGGGCATTGAAGAAAAAGATGTTGTATTGATTCGTCCTGGTCACAAAAACAACACTGTTTAGTACCCTCCCAACTACGCTTGCCAAGTTATCCTTCGTCAAAATTACTCCCTTGCATACAAATCACATAAGGACCTTAATCTTTAAGAACAACTTGACTTTCTAGATATGAAGTGATCTTGGGATAGGCCCGGTGTTTATCAAGTCTGTGTACATGAACTTAACCGAGAAGACACCTGTCATGGACAATCTCCAATGCATCAGAGAGGTCAATCTCCATCAACCTACGCACAAGATGCAACCACCTACCACATCTCCCCCCAACACTCGCCTGAACTGAATATTAAGATGAACAGACCCCAGTTCTGTACTAACGAAGGCATCCTTTTGTTGTACAATTTTATATAGAAAGGGATACTGTAAGGCTAGGGGTGCGTCTCCCAACCAAGTGTCTTCCCAAAATCTAGTACTATTTCCGTTCCCAACTATGAATTTACTTCTATTAAAGAAGGTTGCCTTTGTCCTCATTAGCCCCTTCCAAAACGGAGAATCATTCGGCTGTACCGTGGCTTGTGCCAGGGTTTTGGAGTGTAGGTATTTGTTATGTAACAATTTTATCCACAGTCCATCCGTCTGTACCGACAATCGATAGAGCCACTTGTGCTGATCGGGCGACACAATGTGCGGCAGCAAAGGATCTCCCTCCTACAGGTGCCCCACCGAGGGAGTGCTGGACTAAGGGGTCCTCGGGCGTCCGGCCTGTTAGCCATGGGTCGGACTGATGGGCCGTGAAGATACGAAGACCGAAGACTGCACCCGTGTCCGGTGGGACTCTCCTTTGCGTGGAAGGCAAGCTTGGCGTTCGGATATGTAGATTTCTTTCTTTGTAACCGACCTTGTGGAACCCTAGATCCTCCCGGTGCTTATATAAACCGGAGGACTTAGTCCGGAAGGGACATATATTCATTACCATAGCCATACCAGCTAGACCTCTAGGGCTTAGCCATTACGATCTCGAGGTAGATCAACTCTTATAATACTCATATTCATCTATATCAATCAAGCAGGACGTGGGGTATTACCTCCATAGAGAGGGCCCGAACCTGGGTAAACATCGTGTCCCATGTCTCCTGTTACCATCGACCTTAGACGTACAGTTCGGGACCCCCTATCCGAGATCCACCGTTTTGACACCGACATTGGTGCTTTCTGTGAGAGTTCCACTGTGCCGTCGACGAAAGGTCTGATGGCCCCTTCAATCGTCGATAGTGACGCTGTCCAAGGAGAAACCTTCCTTCCCGGACAGATCTTCGTGTTCGGCGGCTTCGCAATGCGGGCCAACTCGTTTGGCCACTTGGAGCAGATCGATAGCTAAGCCCCTAGCCATCAGGTCAGATTTGGGAGTTTGAACTACGTTGCGGACATCCCTGGAGATTTGATATTCGCCGGATTCAAGACCGCGGCGGCCGCTCCCGGTCACCTTGACGAACATGACCTAAATATGTCGTCAGACCGCATCCAGGAGATAGCTCCTGCGACCACTCCGGCCTTAAATCCAGAGCACACTGCGGCATCCAAGGATTGGAGGTTCAACCCCACCACGGAGGCCACAGATTCTCCGGCATTGGAGCCGCACATGGACTTAATCTCACGCAATACTCGTGTCACCGGAACTCCGGACTCTTCTTTGGGTATAAGTTCCAAACCATGTGAGTCCGCGGATACCGAACCTTATCGCTTATCGATCTTTGAGTTCAGTGTCGTAGACATCTTCCAGCACTCGCCCTTGGCGGGGGACTCACAACCGAACTATGTACGGTTCGAACTAGAGGCTGATGATGGGGAATTTTGCTTCCCACTCGCCACCCACTTCATAGCCACTATCGAGGATTTAACCGACATGCTTGACTATGGCTCCGAAGACATCGCCAGTACGGACGACGATGCCGACAAGGAGCAAGGCCTAAACCCACCATTCATTGGACGACGGTCGACCACTTCTTTCTGCGACGTATACATGGTGGACACGCCTGAAAAAACTAACAACGATGACAAAGAGGATCCAGTTGAGGATAAACCTCCTGAGAGACAGCCTAAGCGCCAGCTTCCTCGACGCCGCTCTAAGTCACGTCGTTCCAAAGACTGCAGCACGGGCACCGGAAAAATAATACTCCGGACGATGCCG